TGACCGCCAGGTAGCCTCCGTACAGCACCAGCATCTGCAGCGCCGCGCCAAACGAGGCGTGCCCGCGCAGGACGCAGCGGTGGAGCAGCGCGAGCGAGAGCAGGTAGCCGGCGGCGTCCCGCACGACGGGCCTGCGCTTGAGGCGCAGGGTGCGCGGCACGACGAGCGCGCAGAGGCCCGGGATCAGCGTGAAGGCGAGCATGCCGGAGCCAACCACAGAGGAGATGCCGAGGCTCGTCGCATAGGCTGAGTGCGCCTCGGCGTCGAGCGCCGTCCGGTGGTGGCCTTGCATCGCCACGGAGGCCTTCATCGTGGACACCGCCGCGACGATGATCTCGGGCGCCGACCCGCCGAACGCCATGAAGGATGCACCCGCCACATCCTCAGGCACGCGCCATCGCTGGCACAGAGTCTCGAGGCTCTGTGCCAGCGGGCCGTCAGCGGTCGCGGCGATGCCGACGAAAGAGTACACGGCGATCACGAGCTCGACCGCGATGCCAAGTGGGTGGTGGTCGATGAGGTCGAAGCACAGGTCCTCGACGTCCCAACAGAGGTGGAGGTGGAGCATTCCAATAGCAGGCAGCACTGTAGCTGTAGCAGGTGATTGTGCGTCGGTCGGTTTCTTTTGGTTTTTCAGACCTCTTTAGAAGCCGAGACAACCGAGGGCCCAGCGTAGAATTCACTTCTTCTACCCTTATAAGTCTCTCGTGTCGGCGCCGACGCTCTTTTAACGTAGAACGTCCCAGCCGAAATCCGCCCGCCACGATCGATCAGTCCACAATCGTCGGCCCCCATAGCCCACTGGACCCCTCCCACGCCTCGCTTTTGGCCAGCCCTCCAAGCCCCCACCCCTCCTGGGCCCTGCCGCCTGACACCTCTATCGGTGGAGGGCTTTAGGTCACGGTCCACACTCCCGCCCTCCCGACCCCTCCACACCCCTACAGCGGCACCCCTACCCCTCCCACCGTTTTAGGGCCTCCTGACCCGCACTCGGCCTCGGCGAACCTCGACAGCGCCTTCGGTGGCATGCAGCTCTTTGCGCCTGAAGCCTGGAGAGCAGCTCCTCTGCTGCTCACACACTCTGCACAGTTGACACAGCCTACTGTGCGGCTGCTACAGCTGTGACAGCGATGGGCTCGCCCCGTCACTGGCCCTCAGTGAGGGGTCCCGTACCATACGGAATCGACCCTATCCAGTGCTCAAGTGCTCAAGCTGCATCCCAGTAACCCAAAAGACGTACACTGAAAAGGCGCGAATCATCAAGCCCGCAAAACGGAATATTCGCTTGTCATCGCGAAAGACATAGCGGAGGGGACGCACGAGCGCCGCGATGCTTGTGGCCGCACTCTCGCTGCCGTGCGCGGGGTACCTGGCGGCGAGGCCTCACGGCCCGGCGCGGCCCCGCGCGAGCCCGCCCGTCGCGTACTTCTCCTTCGACAAGGCGCCAGAGATGGTGTCGCTCAAGGATCAGCTGATGGAGGCCAGCGTTCAGCACCAGCTGCAGCACTTCCGCTCGCTGAACGAGGAGGGGCTCCTCGTCTGGCTCAAGGCGACATGGGAGACCTACGCCAAGTCGCACACTGAGCCCGGCGCCGCGCACGGGTGCGCAGACATCGCGACTCTGCCCGCTCGCTCGACCCTTTTGCCGCGAGAGGGCGCCGGCCGCGTGTAAGAGGTGGCTGGCACCCTGAGGCGGCATTTGGTGGGGTCAGCTCAGGCAGCGGCGTGCGGGGCTGAGTCGTACTCGTTGGTGCTGGGGCCAGATCCCAGCGCAGAACTCTGCAACGCTGGCATACAAACACAAGAAGACTAACCCTAACCCTAACCCTAACCCTAACCCTAACCCTAGGAGCTAGGTCAGCGTGCGGGGCTGAGTCTTAGTCGTCGGCGCTGTGGGGCCAGATCCCAGCGCAGAACCCTGCAACGCTGGCATATACAGACACAACAAGACTAACCCTGGCCTTAACCCTAACCCTAACCCTAACCCTAACCCTCTATGCTCTAACCCGAATAACCCTAACCTAACCCACCCCCCAACTCCGCACCGCAAGTTTGAAAGATCTTGATGAAAATCAGGCCCGACTGCAAATTTCTTCAATATTTTCGCA